ATCTTTCCAATTAAACCTAGCATATAGTACTTGTGAGAAATCACAACCTTTCATCTTATCCTGTGTCAAAAATAAAAGTACTGTATATTTTCCTGCAGGTTTTCAGTAAGGCTATTGCATGAACTTTTTAAACTGGGACTGAGTATAACATTGCAGCTTGGTATTTCAAATATTGATTAAACTTAGAAATAACATTTCACCATAAAAAAGCACAATGCATGCATTGAAGTGATTTGCCGTAATGGGTGGCTGGAAAATGAAGGAAAGGGGTTAAATGAGAACCAGCTACAACAACATGTATAAAATATCAACAGTCATAGTTTATGAGTCCACGCTTGTAGGTTGACTGAAACATGTTAATTAAATTATTTGACATTTCTGCACTAAAGTTACCTCTTTTGTCTCTAAATTTTGCTGAGATTTAATGTAGAGAAGTTGATCTTCTACTCTCAATACTAACATTTTCAGATTTCAAGCCTTTATGAAGAAAATGTTTGTTCAACTTTTTCTCATTGGCATGATAGCACATTTAATGTCATGCCTATAATGTCAAAATGTCTCCAAGCTTCACAAGCAATTACTGTCAATTATATTTGACTTGTACAGTTTGTAAGCAAACACCACAGTCAATTTGCTCACAGCAAATGCCCCACAAACAACCATGAAGTGAACAACCAATTTATCTGACCACAAAATATACAGGATATACTGTGAAGCGCTTTGAGAAGTCTTGAAGATATGATTAGCCGCTATATCAAATTCGAGGATTATTATTATTATCTGGTCAATTATTTTCCTGATGTGAAAGGTGCTGTTATAAATGTAAAATTGTTTTTGAGAAACTGCCTTTTTTAAAAAAAGTTAGTTGAGAGATCTTTGACCTCCTTTTTTAAGGATAGACAGATTGTACTTACAATGGTGTTGAAGATTACAAACGTTGCAAAGGATTGCTTTATTACCGCCTTCAGAAACGTCTTTTGCCCAGGTTTTCAAGACTACTCCTTTCATTACTCTTCCTCTTAAAGAGAAGGAATATTAAAAGGTATGGGAGAAAGCATGAGAATGGGAGTAGATTGGCGCTTGTGGAGAAAAATGCCAGTGGGATAAAAATGGCAAAACAAAATGGTAATTACATAGGGTTTTATGACATTTTATAATAATAATGTGTTATAGTGCTGGGAGTAATGGACTGTAAAATTTTTTCCTACAGCAGAGAGCTTCACAAACTGCTTTTTTGTCAGCTGGGTGTCTTGACACATGAGAAACCCATCTCCATGCTTAAGAATATCCAAAACAAGCTGAGATTTCCATGCATCCCACCTACACATGGAAATCCCAGAGATAGATTGTTGGGATGGAATACCCACACTCTCCCTGGAGGGATACATCCTGCTTACCTAAGCCTGGAAAGTATTAAGCGCAGGTTGTCAAGAGCTAAGGCTTGGGAACTCCAGAATGTGTCAGACAGTGCTATCAATGGCAAGCTATGTTGTTCAGCTGGTTACCAGCTAAAACAGCATAACTTGCCACTGATAGCACTATCTGGCAAGCTTTCCTGATGCTTGTCCAGCTATGGCTATGCTATGGAGGATGTGAATAAAAGCACATGAGCATGAGGATGAGGAGAGGCTCTTATTGACTTGGAGTCAGAGCTGCATTGATGCTCTGGTACGCTTGGACCCTTTCAGTCTTATTATTGGTGAATGCCAGGTGGAAATGACGAGAGAAAATCATTTTGTTTTATTCTTCCTTTTCATATAAAGTGACCCGTAAAACAACAATTGTATGTATTATTGTAATGATGGTTTTAAGTTTTAGACTTTGTTTGTATTTAGAGGATGGAGCTAGACCTCGACTATGTGCTAATTCGGGAAAGAAGCTCAGAGAGTGCAGCTGGCATTTCACTGTTCTGTGAGTGTACAGTTGGGTGATATGTTTATCATGGACGACTGGGCCTCATGCTGTGCTCATATTGTATATTTAGTTGCTGCGATAATGGCTCTGGGACTCTACCCTGCGTGAAGGCCGCTATATAAATATAAGTTGTTGTTCTCTATCCTCCCGATAAAAATTATAATGGTTTGGGGAAATCTGGATCAGCACCCTCAGAGTACAAACCCCTGCCTCTAGCTTCACTCAAAGCTCTCAGTTTATCCATTGGACAGCCCGACAACTATGTTGTTTAAACATTATTAAAGAGCTAATCGTGCAACCAAACTCTTTAATAATGTGTGAAAACAAATAGTATGGACAGAAAGCTGCAATTGAGCCATGCTTACTCTAGCCCTCGTTCAAAGCGAATGTAACAGGACGTATAAATTGTGCTTCTCACTCCACAATATTGAAATGTAGTTGTAGGAGAGAAGTAACTTGGCTCTGTGAATATAAAGACAGGGTTTATAGGCTCCTGTTGCAGATCCTAATTGCTGTATACAGCCATTGGTTCATGATGTGGCCTTTACATAAATGCCTTCTATACAGTGACATATTAGCTTAGGAAAAACATTTTTTTATATAAAAGAAATGACTGCCATGTGTGAATATGGGTTTGTGGGCCATGTGGCATTGATATGTGGCTGGACTATTCATTGGCATAATACAACTACCCATTCATGTGGCGGCATTTTTAGTGCAGACGTATCTTGTTTCAGTTGGAAAACAAAACCTGTAGCTTTGCCTGTCACCCTAATACCAGCTGACATTTTTAAACTGAAAGTACATTGGTGATACATTGGCTGTTTGTGGGACGTTACTGTGTGCAAATTGACCTACAAAATACGGAGTCGTTACAGTGTATCCTGTTAAGCACTTTAAGATGCCCTCCTGTCGTGAAAGGCGCTGTATCAAAATGAAGTTTTTATTTTATACGCAAATTATACTGTACCTCCTTTTCTCTTCTGGACTCTCTGGTTTGGTTATATTTTTGTGCCTCAGCGCGTGCTAGTGTATTTCATGCTGCTCATGGACAAACTTGGCAATTTCAAAGCACCTTTTACAGTGAAATACGCAAAGCTAATTTTTGCAGTCAGTAGTATTGCCTGCTTATAAGTAATATGTCAGCTTCAATCAGTTGGTAGCACTTTTGCTCTTGAGTCAGAAGATTGTGGATTAAAGCCTCATGTGGGGAAGTGAACTCATACTCTAGGCTCGAGGTTCCCAAATCTTTTTTTGCTGTGCTCCCTTTCGGAAATTCATGTCCCACGCTTACCCTCCCCCTCTTTTTAAGATACATTATTTTTGCATAGGACAAAAGGATTTTATTTTCTAGGCTAATATAAGATATTTCTTAAGACAGAAGGCAATGTAAGTAGCACAGTGCCACTACTTTACTACTGAATAAATATAGTGCATTTCATACAGATCTCCCTGGCCTACATTTTTCGCAACACACATATATTTACCATGAAAGGCAGGTGATATTTAATAATNAAAAAGATAATATAATAAAAATACACTTACCTTCTGCTCTGACTCTCTTCCAATCATTGCTCTCCAAGCGAAGAGGTACTAACATAAATAATAATAATAATTCTTACATTTGATATAGCGCTCCATCATGTGTTCAAGACATCTCAAAGCGCTTCACAGAATACACTGCAAAGTGTAGTGACTGGTAGTTCTGAGGGTGAAATACACCCTTGCCCTTTGAAAAGAGAAGGGTGTTTCTCCTGGTATCTTAGCCATAAAGTGAATAACCCCTATTTCTTGGTCATTTGTAGGACCTTGCACAAAATTAGTTGCCACATTTGCCAACAAAATGCACAGTCACTGCACTTTACAGTAAAATTCTGTGAAAAGGCTTTGACGCTCAGCTGTGATGCGCTCTACGGTCAAGTGAGCTGGTGACACTCACTGCCAATGCTCACACATGAACAGTGGCCACTTGGGCGAGGTGCTGGAGGGCAACTAGGGCTGGTAGAAACACACCCAGCAAGAGGAGGTCAAACCAGGAGCAGGGAGGGAGGTGTGAAAAAATAGAAAATACAATTGGATCCACTAAAGTTAAACACAATGAAGGATTGGGCTTCCCATTACAGAAAGAATGTGAAACCAATCAAAACAGGGCAGTGTCGATTCACTAGGATGTTGACAAGGGTGAGGGGTCTCAGTTATAAAAAGAGACCAGAAGTTGAGGTTTTTTTCCTCGAGCTGAGAAGATTAAGCCGCAACCTGATAGAGGTCTTTGCTAATTCTCCAGCTGCCCTGCCTAACATCAGCTAACTCAGCGCAGGCAGCATTTGAACTCATAACCTTCTGCTCATGTTTTTTACCCTTTAGGGCAGTGGTAGCCAACCCCTGGCCCGCTGGGCTGTCAAGAAGTGGCATGTTCTTACGGTATAAATCAAGAAATATTCAATCAAGAACATTTATTTTGTCGGCCAACCGAATAAATTGTCTTAACAAAAAGATTGACCACCACTGCTTTAGGCCATTGTTACAACAGAGGAAACTGCAGTGATTAAAGTACATGTGGAAGCCCATCGACCTGCTTAAGTGTATGATTGAGCCATCTTATGCAGTCTGAGCAATTATACTGTACTTAAATATCTTTGTGTTTTGACATTAGCTAAATAGCATTAGCAGAGGCTGGGGAGCGGAATCTGAATAAAAAACAACCTAGTTTTAATGTGCTTTGCTGTAACATGGGTTCACTTTCTCTCTCAGATGCTGATTTACATGCTGTAAATTTCTGTTTTGATTTCCAGCATTCACAGTTTTCCTAGTTGCTTCTACAAAAACAAAGATTGTTTTTGGAACCACTGCAGAGATTTTGTGAAGTGAATTTATGGACATGTGCTCACTTGGCTTTTGTTTACCTTTCACTGAATATATATATGTACATGTTTTTGGAAGCAATGATTAATTAAATGCCAAATAATCCCCTTCCTGCTTAATAATTATACAGGCTGCAAAAAGCAGGTTAATGTTGTTAATGTTGCTGTCCTTTGATGAGGTACTTTATTCAAGTTATCTGAATATTTACTTTCATTTTGCTTCAGGGAATTTTCTGAATGATCATTTGTTGACTGGGGCAAGGAGTGAATGTGAGTGGCATCATCATTGATCCAGAAGAGCGTCCCATAAACAAAGCGCCTCTTCACTTTCCATTGTGCAGCTGGTTATGGGAATACAGTTCAAAGGTAAGCAATGGGGACAGCTGGTGATTCTGGGCTTCTGCATATAATACACCCCAGGTCTGAAGGGGCTCATTTATGCCAGCTCAAACAGCAATGCTGCCTTCACTACTTCAAGTTATTCCCAAGGCTGTTTGTACTGTTACTCATAATAGAAGGAGCGTGATATAATAATAAGCCTTGCATTTGATAAAGCACCTTATCACGTCTTCTAGATGTCTCAAAGGGCTTCACAGAATATACTGTAAAGTGAATTGACTGTATGTTTTGTCCTACAAACAGATGTGGATTAAGTGACCACATTATTATTTTTTGTCGAAGCATATTCATCAGTTAGGTCAGAAAGTGCAGGATTGTTGAGCTGATTTAATCATTTAAAATATAAATTTTAAATATATATATAGTGATATTGCTGTAAATTCAAGTGCATTAGCCTTTTGTGAAAACTGGACTCTGCAGTTATTGCTGCAGATTTATAGTGTCTGTTAGAATTGGATTGGTTTCAGGAGGGTTGAATGTGCACTTAATGCATTTTTTAACATTTAAAAAAAAGAAATTGAATCACAGTATTGTAATTCTAGTTTTCAGTGTGGTGACCAAGGTGGAGATTTTGTCACCTGTGTTTGTGATGCTGTGGACATAATGATGGAATGTGGCCCAATATCATCAGCTTTGAGAGTCCATTTTAACAACACCTCAGCATGTCATTGAGTCACATGTACGGTATCATGTTCTCTCCAATGCTAGGCTACTTCACAGAAATAACAGCTTCTCAGAGTTATGTGGAGATCACAGGCAGCAGCAAGTGTTTCTTTTTAAAACTGCTTAATACCAGGTATTGGTTTCCATTCAAGAGTGACCTGCAGTGGTTTCTGCAGTGAAGCTATCACTTGTCTAAGAACGTATAAACTTACAGCTAGCACCCAATGCATTGTAGTAAAACTTTTATTTCCAACTCTCCTGTACCTCCCAATATTTATATTGGAACAAGATTGCAGTAGAATATAGAGGGGCACGAGCCCTGGTGGCCGGGTGGTTGTGGCATCAGAAGGAATTTGTTTTCTCCGCAATCTGGAGAGTTTCAGCACCCACTCCTCCCCCTTCCCTGCCACAAGTATTGCCTGTTTAAAAATAAAATTTGTACTTAGATTCTGGTTCAGATCATTTCAACCTGGGGGAGAAGAAAATGATAAGATGCTTCTCTGTACCTCACCTAAACACACCATGGTGCATGATGGGCTATATGATATTCCAAGGAGAGCGATGCTTCCATTGTTTATGTTGGATTTTGGATAATAATAATAATAAAATAATAATCCTTGCATTTGATATACCGCTTTTCACGTCTGGAGGACATCCCAAAGCGTTTCACAGGGTACATTGTAAGTGCAGTGATTGTGTATTTTGTAGGCTATGCAGACTGTGTAATTTCTACTCTGACTTTAGACACTGGATAATTTGTACCCAGTGGCTAAATTCAGAGTGAATCCTAATGCATCTTAGACAACCATCATGCACATTTGAATACAGTACCAGTAATGAAAGGGCAGAAGTGAGCTGAAGCTTCATTCCAACCTACCCAAAAGAGGTCCACAGTAAGCAAACAGTCACCTTCAGGTACTTTAATGCCTTAATCTGTATTTGCATTTCTAAACCTCTTTGTAAACAATTTAAAACAGATCCAGTCATATAAAGGTTAATAAAGAGTTTATTTGAGAGAAAACAAAGTATTGTAATCCTTTAGGCTTGCCACTCTAATGGAGAATATATTAGGTGGGAACAAAATAAAATCAAAGAAGAAATACTAAAGCAGTTCTGTGAGCAAGGGTATGGGTTTCACTTCTGCACACAGTTCACACAGTAAATTCCCAATTTTATTGGGGTAAAGCATCCTGGCCAAATGTTGATCATCTCTTAGCTGGTTATAGGATTGGCAGAAGCCTTGGACGAGGTTATCTCTGTGTCCTGCTTTCTGAGGATTAGGTAAGATGCTGTGGAGTCCTGTAGCATAGTGGTTAGAGCATTCGCTTTGCAAGCGAGAGACCTGAGTTCAATTCCAGGCACAGGGTGAAACCTTGGGCAAGTTTCCTTACTCCACACGCCTAATAATAATCCCTCCAAAAACCCAAAACAATAGTAAATTGGTCATTTTCAATCTACGACTGTTTGTGGGACATTGCTGTGTGCAATTGGCTGCCGCGTTCGCCCACAGATATACAGTCAATTCACTTTACAGTGTGTTCTGTGAAGCGCTTCAGGACGTCCTCCCGACGTGAAAAGCGCTATATCAAATGCAAGGATTATTATTATATTATTGTGTGGCCATGATTGAGAAGGACAGAGGCGTGAGGAAAAGAGTGACTGAATGAGAGGAAACTTTGAGCACTGAGTAAATCTGACTGTAACATGGCTACTATGTTGCATGGGTTGTAATGTGTGATAAATATGCAGTGAACAAAGCAAATATCTTCTATCATTTTTCTTTATAAAAGTAAAAGCTCCCCATATTCATTCATGGTATTACATTAACAAACAAAAAATACATCTGATGTTTTATTTATTTTTTCTAAAAGGTTTTCCCCGTTTTCTAGCTGGCTAACAATCTCCCAAATAAAATTGATCATTCACTTTATGGCTGTTTGTGGGACATTGCTGTGTACAAATTGGCTGCTACATTTTCCCTCTTTTGAAAGAATCCTCTTTGAACTTTTTTCCCAATAAATCATTGCTCTGTGACATGGGAGAGAGCTGAGAGATTGCACGGTTTCTGCTGTTGATAAACATGTTGTCATTGTACAGGGATTATAAATCTTCACAAGTAGGTGAAAATGTAAGAAAAACAGGCTTACCAGTGAGAGTTCACATTTGCTCTTGAGATGTTCCTGCCAGGGTTTAGAGCAGTTTTACTTACCTTTAGATGTTTATACTTTGCTTTAACTCAAGAGGTTTTGAGAATGCTCTTGGTTTCTGAGTGATTTTATGCTTTCTCATTTCCTTTCCCCAAACGACACTTTGGCAGAGATGTGAAGCTTTACAAATGTCAAATTCTTCTTGTCTTTTCTGCAATTAAATTGAAGTCATTGGCAAGTGCAAAGATAAGAAAAGTGCTCTAACTGTTAAAAACCTAAATATTGCCACATAAAACAAACCTTTCGCAGCATTCTCAAACTGGAAGCTCTTAACCTTATCTGTGTGGTTGTGGAAAACAAACTTGTCAGCCAGCACTCCCCTTTGTACCAAAGCAATTGTTTCTCACAACGTCATCAGTCTTTATTGTGAAGTGGATCTTTCTACATATTCATTCTTCAAATGTCAGTTGAGTTTCGTAGCCAGTGAACTGAAACACTAATCCCTTCCTGGTGCTTGTGGACCAATGACCCCTTGCTGGTGACACAATACTGTCTTCCACCTCGACACAGAAGATGTGGGATTGCTACAGTGTCCAATATACTTAAAAGCCTATGTATTCACACTTGCACTGTTTGCAGAGTGGGAGATAAGGACAGGTTGTAATAATAAAGCCGTGATTCAAGAGGTTGAACTCAGTAAATATTTGCTTACTAAACATTGTACAGTAAATTTGTTCTCTGGCACAATTTTGTCTGTCTGTGGCCAATTAAAGTCCCAGTTAATATTGGGCTATCAAGAAATTGCTGTCCGATTTGTTTGATGCAAGCAAAGTTCAGAGTAACCTAAACAAAAACATTTGGCATCACCTATCCAAAGAAGCAAATGTCTTGCACTTGTGTTGTTTCAGGTTGGTTTCTTTTAAATCACATCTCAATTAGAAAGTGCATTTCCATTTAATCTCATGTTTTTATGGAGAGAGATAAAGGTGCTGGTAGAGTCTTGAATAAACATATCGGAGAGTACTGTGGAACTCTGGAACACTCTCCCTCAGTTCCTCACCTTGCCTCCTCTCTCCCCTTTTTCAAGTACCGCCTGAAAACCTTCCTTTCGATTGTGCTTATGGTCACCCCCCGCCTGGCTCGGAGTCAGGCTTCGCCACTGTTAAATGCTCTGAGATGCTAGCCTGCGTGGAGGGCGCTATATAATAATAATAATAATCCTTGCATTTGATATAGCGCTTTTCACATCGGGAGGACGTCCCAAAGCGCTTCACAGAACACACTGTAAAGTGAATTGACTGTATATTTGAGGGCGAACGCGGCAGCCAATTGTGCACAACAATGTCCCACAAACAGTTGTAGATTGAAAATGACCAATTTATTATTGTTTTTGGTTTTTTTGGAGGGATTATTATTAGGTGTATGTGCAAGTTGTTGTTGTTGTACTGTTCTAGATACTGCATTTCCGTTCATGCCGTGCTCCTTTAATAGTAAAATAGATAGATTGATAGGAGGTGATTCTGTACATAGTGGACCAATATGTACCCATATAATAATGATCCTTGCATTTGATATAGCACCTTTCATGTCGGGAGCACGTCCCAAAGCACTTTACAGGATTAACTGTGAAGTGGAGTGACAGTGAATTTGTAGGCGAACGCGGCTGCCCAACTGCACACAGCGATGTCCCAGAATGTTGTTATTATTATTATTAATGTCCCATGGAACAAATGATCAGTTTAAATCTCAGTGATGGGGAAGTGGGTGGACTGTGGAGCGTTTCTCTTTATCTCAGTGGAGGCTTCAGGATTGGCCTTGGAGGCAATCTGGAAAACATAGCGCTGTATACTGACTCCTGTATATTGTTTTTTAGCTAAGGAATTCAAAGATTTGTTTTCACGGGTAGTAAATATGCCAGATCTTTTTCAGGTAGTGCTTTCACATTACTTTCCTTCTCCCTCCCCCTGCCATCCCCGTATGTATTTTGCAATCACTGGTAGGTTCTCTTGGCTGGTAAATTATGTAATAGAGAGGACTTGTAAAAGTCTCCATATATGTGGTGTACATGTACAGAACTGGGGAGTTCCTTTGCACATTTTGCACATTTAGAATTCCAGATGCTTTCTTTTCAAAGTTTCCTTTTTAATTCAGTTCGGT